TACCATGAGGTATAGGATGATAAAGTACAAAGTATACTATAAAAATGCCAAGTCAGATAACCTGTCACCCAACCATTCCATTTATTTTTATGGAATGATACAGCAGGGTACCATTGGCTCATGCCTGTAATCCTCGCTACTCAAAAAGCTGAGATTGCAGTTTGAAGCCAGCCCAGGGAAGAAAAAATCTATGCAATTTGTATCTCCAAATAAACATAAAAACAGCCAGAAGTGGAGCTGTGGTTCAAGTGGTAGAACTAGTGTCCAGGCCCTGAGTTCAAGCCCAGGACCTGCACCAAAAAAAAAAAAAGACACATGCTTATAAATATATGCATGAAGCTATTACAAGACTATATTGGTGTTTATAAAAAATTAAAAATTAGTTTCAGTTTAAAATATTTATTTACAGGACTGTGATCAAAGGAATCAGGAGGTGTACATATTAAGAATCTCATGTACAACCATTAAAAAGAATAAGGGAGTTTTAGATGTGCTGATAAAGAATAGAAGTGTGTGTGTGTGTGTGTGTGTGTGTGTGTGTGTGTGTGTGTTTGCATTGGTAGGAAAAATACCAGACACTGGTGGTTTACACTTGCAATCCTAGCTACTCAGGAGACTGAATTCAAAGCTAGCTTGGGCAAACAAATTCAAGAGAGTCTTTATCTCCAGTTAACCAGCAAAATGCCAAAAGTAGAGTCATGGCTCAAGTGGTAGAGGACCAGCCTTGAGAAAAAAAGCTAAAGGAGCTGAGAATGTAGCTTAGCAGTAGAGTATTTGCCTTACATGCACAAAACCCTGGGTTCCATTCCTCAGTACCACATAAACAGACAAAGCCAGAAGTGGCACTGTGGCTCAAGTGGTAGAGTGCTAGCCCTGAGCAAAAAAGCTCACAGATAGTGTTCATACCCTGAGATCAAACCCCAGGACTGGCAAAAAAAAAAAAAGCTAAACAAGACAATTAGGTTCTGAGTTTAAGTCCTAGTACTGGCCCAGAAAGGGAAGGAGGGAGGGAGGGAATGAAGAAACTGGGTGAAAAACAGGTCATCTACAAGAGAAAGAGAAAGAAAGAGAGAGAGAGAGAGAAAGAAAGAAAGAAAAAGAAAGAAAGGAAGGAAGGAGAGGGAGAGAGGAAGGGAGGGAAGAAAGAAGGGGAAGGGAAGAGAAAAAGTAAACCAAAAGTACTTGCAAATATAGCATAGTAATGATAGTATGATTCCATATATGCCTGAGTAAAGAAGAAAGACTATATGTGTTAATATACATGTAAGTCCCATCAACATGTGTCTCAGTTTCATACCAGTGTTATCTTTAGGAGAGAAGCAATAGGATTAGTGGAGGAAGTCAGTACTATTTGATTACTTTTTTTTGGGGGGGGGGCTCCAGTCGTGGGGCCTGAACTCTGGGCCTGGGTGCTGTCCTTCAGCTCTTCAGCTCAAGGCTAGTTCTCTACCACTGAGCTACAGCGCCACTTCCAGCTTTTTTTCTTTTTGCTTCTGTGGTGCTGAGGAATCGAACCCAGGGCCTCAGGCATGCAAGGCAAGCGCTCTACCACTGAGCCACCTTCCCGGCCCCCCTATTTGATTACTTTTATGGAATATAATTCATGAATTCTTTTGAGTGACTAAAATAGTAAATAATAGTTAGAGGGGCTGGGAAGGTGGCTCAGTGGTAGAGCGCTTGCCTTGCATGCCTGAGGCCCTGGGTTCGATTCCTCAGCACCACATAAGCAAAAAGAAAAAAAGCTGGAAGTGGCGCTGTGGCTCAAGGGGTAGAGCGCTAGCCTTGAGCTGAAGAGCTGAGGGACAGCGCCCAGGCCCAGAGTTCAGGCCCCATGACCGGACCCCCCCGCAAAAAAAATGCTTCCTTAGAAGGCACAAGACCCTGAGTTCAAACTCCACTACTGCTGAAAAACAATCAAATATAACAATTATGTTTCTAGAGTGGCCAAAAATTCTAGAAAAGTGTATCTTCTCTTTGCCAATTCCAAATGGATAGTATTCATCTTGTGACCCATAAGAATAGATTTGCAAATAATGTTCTTTTTTTATTTTATATAGAAAATGTAGGAAATACCAATATACAAACCAGAAAGGGAATGAACATTTTCTATAAGCCCATCTCTACCAAAAAAAAAAAATCACTGAGCATTTTGAAATATTTACTTGCATTGTTTTTTAAATGTAGATGACATACTATGTAATATGTCTGATTTTTTTGTTTTAAGATTTTTATCAACAGTATTCAAAAATCTCTCTATAGTAGTAGTATAGTATAGTAGTAGTAAATATTCCTCAACTTCATTGTTGACAATTGTTTAATACTATCAGTCTCTCAAGTAGCTTTCCATTTTTCACTTTTATGAAAAAGGTAAGAGTTGGAGGCTGAGTGGGTAGTGTCCCAGCCAATGAATGAAAGTGTCAGCTACCAGTCTCAGACAAAATAAATAAATAAGGTAGCAATATTCATCCTTGTTTTTTTGACAACATAAAATTGATACATCATGATAGATTGTGATAGAATCTTTGAAAGCCTAGAGGTCATGCTAAATTATCTCTGTTAAGCTTGATCTAATTAACACCCAAGAATGATTTCTGTTGGGGTTCATTAGAGCAGAGAAAAAAGTTCCCTTTTAGTTTTGATTTTCTAAATAAAGTGTCGAAAGGTATGTATTTCAACTTGTACAAATGTTAAACTTTTAGTTAAAAGTGACCTTCATATTCATGCTCTGTGTATCTATGCTTAAGAAGTTTGATTAACCAGCCGTTGAAATTAAGGGGGTTACATTGCATAATGTGTTGTTGTTGTTGTTTACTACAATGTGTCGGTGGTAAGCATAAAGTAGCATTTCTTTATTGCTTTTCCTTCACCTCTGTTCTCTAAAAATGAAAGCATGCTCTTTGCTTGGCCAGATTGCTGCTTAGCATTCTTTGTTCTCACACTGCATTGGGACAGCGTGTTTGATGGATGGTGCCCGGGCGAGAGGGGATCATCAGCTCAATAGAATCACCTAGGTCTGGGTGTAGACCTATATTCCATCTAAACCCCAGACCATATTGAATTAAATCATAAGCTCTGACATGTCTGCCCTTTGGAAAATGAAGCCAATCTCATGTGACACATGGATTGATACAAAAAGACATCAAACCACAGGATACAGAAAAGACCTAAGGGAAAATCCTAAGAGCCAGGATTGGTGGCTCCTGCCTGTAATCCTAACTATGCAGGAGGCTGCAAACTGGAAGATTGAGGTTCAAAGCCAGCCTGAGCAGCAAAGTCTGTGAGATTCTTATTTCCAATTAACTAGTAAATAGCCAAAAGTAGAGCTGGAGTTCTTAAAGTAAAAATAAACGGTAGAATGCCATCCTTGAGCAAAAAAAAAAAAAGCTAAGAGAGAGTTCAAGCCCCAGTATAGGCAAAGATCAGAGTGGTAGTTTGCAAGTGCCCAGAATACTTTTCTTTGTAAAGAGACAGGACATTAAATCCTCCCATGCCAGCAATAGAAGAATGCTCATCTGAGGAAATTGCTGACAAAACAGTATAAGGAGTGAGCTCGGTGTCAGTGGCTCACGCCTATAATCCTGCTTCACAGGAGGCTGAGATTTGAGGATCACAGTTCAAAGCCAGCCCCAGCATTAAAGTCTGTGAGACTCTTATCTCGAGTTAATCCTCCCCCCAAAAAAACCAGAAGTGGAGCTGTGGCTCAAGGGATAGAGCACTAGCCTTGAATGCAAAAGCTCAGGAACAGTGCTCAGACCCTGAGTTCAGCCTCAGACTGGTGTGCACACACACAGAGACAAACACATACACACAAATATATATATTTGGAGTGGATTCAAGGGATGGGGAGTAAAATGAAGGAACCATTTAAAGTGAAACTAATTGTTGTTTTATACATTCTCATACTAAAGACAAGCTGGGTTCCTTGTTTGAGGTGAGGGTAGGTTGGAGGCTTTGTTTTTGAGACCAAGATTTAGGTAGCTCAGGCTGGACTTGAACTTTCAATCCTCTTACCTCAGCCTCCTAAGTGGTGGGATTGAAGGCATGTACCACCACACCTAGCTTCCTTGTTTATATTTTTCTGATCAGTTTGAATAAGACAAGATTTCTCAGCCTGATCATTGCTGACATTTTGATCAATCATTCTGTCAATCAAACAATTCCTTGCTGGGGGGGAGGGGGTGTCACTGAATAGATGCAGGGCTGCAGTTTTAACTTCTGTGGATGTCACAACACTGTCTCTTCTTGAGAATCGCCAGATTAAGGGATCATTATCCTGCAATACTGAAGGAAAAAAAACACTGCAGACTGGGGCCAAAATGCATGTCATGTGACATTTTATTTATAGATGAGCATGGGTGGAAATAGTGTCAGCCATCACCAAGCTGTTAGGCTAGACTTGAAGCTCTCCGTGTAGACTTTCCCTCCCTGACACCCAGTGTTGTAGGGGGAAGAACAAAACAAAAACACATGTCTGTGTGAGAATTGCCTCAAGTTTCACTTATCCCTCCCTTGCATCCAGTCTCCTGTGGTAGTAGTGCACGTTTCCTTCCTATCGTTGAATGCATTAAAGACTCCACAGCCCTTTGAGAAAGGTATTTTGAAGGTAAGTATTGGCTCAAACAAACCCGATCCTCTGTCCCCAAAGGGATCTTCTAAGAAAGCTTTAGTAGATCTCAGCCTATGCTCTGCCCACACGCTAATACTTCTACCACTGAGCTCATGTTCAAGCAGAAATCACAGCTAAATAATCTGTCCTCAGTTCTAAGTCTCCTTTTGACTTAACTTCCTTGCCCTCATTCCCTCTTTGGCTGATTCAGCTAACTTTATGATGTATTCTTCATAAAGTTAGTCCGTTCCCTGCTTTTTCTTTTTCTCTGCCCACCCCCTAACCTCTTTGGCCACTGCTAAGCAACCATGCTCCCCTTAAATCTCTCCCCCCTCCCCCCCATTGAAAGTGTGTCTTGAATAACGGAAGTTGCCAACGTCTTGACCTCTTTCAGATATGACAATGGATGATGTTCGGGAATACGAGAAAAACATGCATGAACAAACCAACATAAAAGTTTGCAATCCGCATTCCTCCACTGTGGATGACATAGAGAATCATGCCCAAACAAGTGTATGTAGAATTATTCAAACATGTCGCCCACCCCCTGCAAAACAAACACAGCGCAGTGATCTCTGAAATACCACAAATGCTCCCTCCCAGCCTGCCACGAAATCATGGCAGTGCCCACCACAGGCCATTGATAAAGGTGCTGAGCTGAGTCTAGACAAATCCTATGTCCTGTCTCTTCCAGACAGATTGATTTTTTAAAGCTACTTGAATTGGATGTGTGCTCTCTCTCTCTCTCTCTCTCTCTCTCTCTCTCTCTCTCTCTCTCTCTCTCATTATAAAGCTCAGAACAGAGATGGAGACATTTTGTGGTACTAGTACAGAAAGAAAAAAAAATGACTCTCACCAACCATAAAAGAGCAAAGCTGGATATCATATGTAAACTAGAACAACATGTCAGGAACTTTTCAAAACATACTTAACACTCACTTTATTCATTCAAGGGCGGGCTTCTGGCTGATCTGCTATTTTAGGTTTCTTTCCACTTGCGTTAAAATGCTTTCTCTCCCATAGCCGTGTTAGCCAATCAGTTCCTTTTTACTCCGGGTAAGCTGGTAGGGTAATCTGCAGTCTGCAGGCTCACAGACTGGGTGGGGAAGGGGTGATGAGCTAGGAAGTGGGTCTCTCCGGAGTCAGTCACACGGTGGATGCAGAGAGCTGACTGTACTATGTAGTCCACCATTGAAAGTAGAGTTACCTCTCAATCACTTATGCAAATGAAGAGGAGATACCATGAGCAGAAGAAGACATAATCAACAAATCATTTCTATGGATCTTCAGCCCCAGCTGGAGTTCTAGGAGCCCAGGCCTTGGAATAATCACTAGGGTTTTTGGTGTTTTTTTTTCTGTGTGTTTTGTTTTTGTTTTTAAGCACCAGTGGCTCATGCCTGTAATCCTAGCTACTCAGGAGGCTGAGATCTAGCTACTCAGGAGGCTGAGATCTGAAGGATTGCAATTCAAAGCCAGCCCGGGCAGAAAAGTCCATGAGACTCTGGTCACCAGAAAACTGAAAGTGGCGCTGTGGCTCAAGTGGTAGAGCATTGGCCTTGAGCTGAAGAGCTCAGGGACAGCGCCCAGGCCCAGAGTTCAAGCCCCACAACCGACAAAAAAAAAAAAAAAAAAAACGTTGTGAAACCATGAGCTGATACTTTGTGTGATTTTAGAGAAAATTCAAAAAGAATGTAGTGACACAAAATCAAGTGATGGCTTTTGGATGCTAAGGGTTGGGAAGACCTGGTAGCACTTTGGAAATTTTCAGCTAAGTGTTGAGCGCATGTCTTTGGAATGTATCCTGCCAGTACGTGGCGCTCCCGTGGGATGCATGCACCTTGAATGTCTCTGAGGCCGCATGGGGTCGGGAGCTCTTCCTTTCCCTGCCTGCTTGCATGCAGTAGCTGCATGTGAGGCCAGCTGAGCCGTGAGACATGCCTCTCCTCCCTCCCTGCTCAAAAGATAAAAACAAAATGTTTGTAGGAGGGTGTGCCTGCTTGGTGGCTCATGCCTGTCATCCTAGCTACTTAGGAGGCTGAGATCTGAAGATCAAGGTTCAAAACCAGCCCAGGCAGAAAAGTCCCTGAGAAATAGCAGAAGGCCATTTGCATGATTTTCTTTCAGTTTGACTATCACACACACACACACACACACACACACAAACCATGCATTCTCTGGCAACAGGTCATGATCCATGACTTTAACAGATGCCACCAGTGCCCGCCCCCCCCCTCAACTACCACAAAGTTCCACAAATGGTTCTTTGGAATGCTTTTGACATTTTCCTTATTCTTTGGAGTTCTGTGAAATTGGGGATCATTTCTTTTTCCACAGTCTTTCTTCTCTATCATAACGGGAAACAATTAAAACCAAGAAGCTGCTATGCATCCCAAATTAAAGCCACATGGTTGCACAGTGAAATTTCACTCATCAACCTGAACTGGGATGAATCAGATTGGACGTGTGCAAAATTAACATTCGTGAACACAGCAATAAGGAAATTACAGCCTTCTTTTCAATCGAGGGGTTTTGCAACCCCTCGATTGAAAAGAAGACTTAAAGAGACACTGGGAGTAGAAAAGCAAAATGTTGTACTTTGGATTATTTCTGCCCCCTGCTGGATGCTTTGGGTATAGCCATGTATGCAGACCGCAGAAAGTAATTTTTCAAAGAGGCTATCCATTTCTTACAGCATAAAACACATCTAGAGCTTAATTCAGTGAAGGTTTTCTTAGAGTCTTAACTTTGCCTTTTTCCCAAAAACTTAAGTTTTACTAGTCTTAGTCTTTTTTGAAAGTGGTAAGTTCACAGGTACCTTTTTTTTTTCTTAACATTCTGAAATTTGGATCAACATAGTTGTCAATTAAAAAAAAATTCCTTTATGAAATCCTTACCTTTTGGGGGAATTTTAAAAATTATCAAAAGGAATTCTTTCACGTGTTAAATATTATAAAACCTAATGATGGAGGCTGGGCCAGTGGCTAATGCCTGTAATCTTTTCTACTCAGGAGGCTGAGATCTGAGGCTTATGATTTGAAGCCAGCCTAGGCAGGAGAGTCTGTGAGACTCATATCTCCAATTAACTGCCAAAAGGCCAGCCGTGAAACAATGATTCAAGCCAGGTGCCAGTGGCTCACGCCTGTAATCCTAGCTACTCAGGAGGCTGAGATCTGAGGATCACGGTTCAAAGCCAGCCCAGGCAGGGAAGTCCGTGAAACTCTTATCTCCAATAAACCACCAGAAAACCGGAAGTGCGCCATAGTTCAAGTGGTAGAGCGCTCGCCTTGAGCTGAAGAGCTGAGGGACAGCGCCCAAGCCCAGAGTTCAAGCCCCACGACTGACAAAATAAAGAAACAATGATTCAAATGGTAGAGCACCAGTCTTGAATGAAAAAGCCAAGGGAGAGCACAAGACCCCGTGGTCACGTCCCAATACTGACGCATATACACACACACACACACACACACACCCCTAAGGAAGTTTCAACACCTAAAAACATGAAGGGGGTGTGTGAAAAATGGACCACTTGAAAGGCAAGATACATGGGGAAATCCTTGGGTGACAAATGTCAGACTTCACTCAGAACTTTACTCAGTGCTTATTTAAATAATTTAGTTACCTGCTTCCTTGTTCCCAGTAAATAAAAATGTAAAGGCTATCGGGAGCAGCCAGACTGGCAGTCACTAATAGTAAAAGCAGTGAGATGCTGTTATTGAGAGAAGAGCTGGTTAGCTAAAAAAAAGCAAATAGTGGTCAGATGCTAGTGGGTCATCCTATAATCCTAGCTACACTCCAGGAGGCTGAGATCTAAGGATCATAGTCTGAAGCCAGCCCAGGCAGGAAAGTCTATGAACCTTTTATTTCTAATTAGCCAGCGGGGAGGGGGGGGAAGGGGGGAGCCAGAAATGACACTATTGAGTGAGTGATCGAATGCTAGCCTTGAGCAAAAGAGCTCAGGGAAGCACCTCCCAGGCCCTGAGTTCAAGCCCTAGGACACACACACACACACACACCATTAATAGACTTTGAGAAGGAAATGATCACTGGATGGTTGCATGGTGGTGTTTAAATATCACTTTTACTTTTCCACCTAAGAAAAACATTGCAAATTAGACACCACCGGCTTACCCTTAGAATCCTAGCTACTCAAAGAGACTGAGATCCGAGGATCCAGTTCATTGCCAGTCCAGGCAGTAAAGCCCATGAGACTCTTCTCTCCAAATAGCCAGCAAAGAGCTGGAAATGAAGCCATGGTTCACATGAGAAGAGCACCAGCCTTGAGCAGAAAAGCTACACAAGATCATAAGGCCCTGAGTTCAAGTTCTAGTCCTGGCACAAAAATAACCGTGGGGGATGGGGGAAGGAGGGAATAGCCCTAGTGTGTCCTCTTGTAGTACTTTCCAGGTTAGGGTGTCCCTAGTCCCTTTAAAAGTTAAGTTCAGAGATGAATCCATCCACCTCTGGCCAGTAACTGCTGCTTTTTTCTACCCCCACCCTCTGTCTCTCCCGAAGACATGACAATGGACCAAGTGCGAGAATTCGAACGAGCTACTCAGGAAGCCACCAACAAGAAAATCGGCGTGTTCCCGCCTGCCATCTCCATCTCCAGCATCTCCCTGCTGCCTTCCTCGGTGCGCAGCGCCCCGTCCAGCGCGCCCTCCACCCCCCTCTCCACCGATGCCCCAGAATTCCTGTCCGTCCCCAAAGATCGGCCGCGGAAAAAGTCGGCTCCAGAAACTCTCACCCTGCCAGACCCCGAGAAGCCAGCCACCCTGAATTTACCTGGCCTGCGCTCTTCTGAGAAGCCATGTCGGCCCAAATCAGAGTAACTTCATGTGGAATGGCCCCCTGGGTTTTTCTAGTTAATTTTTTTTCTTTCTTTTTTGGTGGGAGTGGCGGGGAGGGGGGTTGTCGTTTCTTTGTTCACAATCGTCTTCTGATAGAGGAAAAGACTGCTTTGTCCTCAAACCTGTCCCTCTGAGGGTGCATGTGGCTGAGTAATTTCACAAATCAGATACGTCCCTCTGCCTGTCACCCAATAGCAGTTGCTGAAAGATGTTCAAGGTTTGGGGAGGTTTGCGTGGACTCTTGAGGGTCAAGAGAGGAAAATGTGCACCCTTACACAGCTTTGTTACTAGGTGTGGGAAAACAGTGAAGTCCGTTTCTTTCCGTCAAACCTGATCGTGTCAAACTAAACAAAACACAAAACACGAAACGGCTCAGGCATCATTTACCTAATTGTTCAGTTTTGAACTACTGACCACCAATACTTGAATATCAAGAGTTAACTAAGATTCCTATTTTGGGTTGTCTGACTCAGGATTTGGGGCCTAATTAACTCTTTAAAAGAATTTTTGAAAACTTTTAATTATCAACCTAGAAAGGCTCCAAGTGCAATTAATGATGACTTGTTTATACCTTTCTCAGAATTTCATAAAGAGATCCCTTATTCCTATCTTTTAATAACACCCCACACCCCTTGAGCCCCTGTGGCCTTTGAAATCCTGAAGAATGGCATGGCTGATATTTAGAGATTTAGTTGAAGAATGAGAAGCCCAAGAGAGATTAAACATCTTTCTTCTCTGCAGGTACCCAAAAACCTTGAATTGTCAGTTTTCAATCAGATTCTCAGAATTTGAGCTGGGCCCATTGTGGCTCATGCCTGTAATCCTAGCTATTCAGAAGACTGACTGAGCTCTGAGGATCATGGTTCAAAGCCAGCCTCAAGCAGACCACTCCTGAGAGACTCTGATCGCCAATTAATCTAGCAAAAAAGCTGAAATTGGAGGCATGGTTCAAGTGGTAGAGCACCAGCCTTGAGCTAAAGGATAGCACTCTGGCCCTAAATTTCAGCCCCAGTACTGGCACCAAAAAAAGGGGAGGGAGATTTTTTAGAGTTTGCCAAACCATTGAGTAAAATTCATTGTCTGTGCATCCATTTCAATAAGTTCACCTGGAAATAAGCTAATTGGGCTTGACAGCTATGGGAATGAACTATGGTGGGTGAACTGTGAAAAAGAGAATCCTCTCCCATTTCTCTCCTGGTTTTCCTCTTAGTAACTACTTCCAGTAGACTTCACCCAAATGGATGGCCAAATTGTAGGTCTTAGGAAAACTGTCATTCTCTTGTTTCTCTTTTAAAATCATAATATTGGAAGCAAGAGGTGGAGTTCAATAGTAGAGCATTTGCTTAACATGTATAAGGCCCTGGGTTCAATCCCCAGTACTTTAGGAAAAAAAAAAAAAAGGGAGCTAAATCCAAATGTTGAGAATCTCAGAGAAATCAAGTCAGTACTGCCAGGAGAAAACAGTGAATGAGCAGAATTGGTGATTTCTCTTTGTGAAAGAGAAGAGTGGTCGAATTGGTCCTTTTGTCTTTCATTTCTGTAGTTAGGAATACAAGATTCAAACCAAGGTTGACAGGAGACAAGCTTACTCATCCAAGTTGCAAAAAGAGAGAATTCTTAGGGCTGGGAATGTGGCTTAGTGGTAGAGTGCTTGCCTACCATGCATGAAGCCCTAGGTTCGATTCCTCAGTACCACATAAACAGAAAAAAACTGGAAGAGGTGCTGGGGCTCCAGTGGTAGAGTGCCAGCCTTGAGCAAAAGAAGCTCAGGGACAGTGCCCAGGCCCTGAGTTCAAACCCCAGGACGAGAGAGAGAGAGAGAGAGAAATTCTCAGTTGGGCACTAGTGGCTCATGCCTATAATCCTAGCAATTCAGGACGCTGAGGTCCAAGGATCTCAGTTTGAAGCCAGCCTTGACAGGAAAGTCTGTGAGACTTATATCTCTAATTAATCACCAAAAAGATGAAAGGAGAGGTATGGCTCAAGTGGTAATATACCAGCTTTGAGTGATAAGCCAAGTGAAAGCATAAGGCCCTGAGTTCAAGTCCCAGTACTGGCAATAGAGAAAGAGAGAAAGAGAAATTGAAATTCTGCTCCAGTCTAAAGAGGGAAATCTGTCATCTTTGCACCTCACTGCCGTTAAACACAAGAGAGAGGGACAAGCAATCTCAGCTTTGACTTTGTGTTTGCAGAAGGAAAGAACACGGTAATTGGGAGGTTTCCACATCCATGCACTAGCTAGCCTTCCTGACCATAACCTCCGACCTCAGGAAAGGGATCAACCCAAAACTCAGAAACAAAATAGGGCAAGGTGTGCCCCACCCCTTCCCCCAGGTCTCAGCCAGTGGACCACACCTGCCTGCCTCTCCCCCACAATTCCTGCGCTGTGTAGTCTCTTGCAGTCTGTCCACTTTCCTAAGGTGCAGGCACTGGCCCCGGGAGCCCCCAAAACCAAAGGGGTCAGCATGTCTAGATCACTTCTTTATCCAGAAATGGACATTTCACTGAAAAATAGAAATAGACCCAGGACTCCAAGGAAAGCAGTTGCAAATAGCTTAAATCAACAGAGCATCTTTCCCTTTCAGAATGGTCTTATTCTTGTTTGCATGGAATGGAAGCATGAAACTTGCTTGTGGGAAAACTTAACCTTTTTTATCCGACCCCTTGGACGATGTCTTCATGCTGAGTGAGAATGTTTGGCTTTTAGAAAGCAAAACTGTACTTTCAGAAGACATGGAAAGTGTGTGTGTGTGTGTGTGTGTGTGTGTTCCTACCATTTGCAAGCTGGAAAGTGTGTGTGTGTGTGTGTGTGTGTGTGTGTGTGTGTGTGTGTGTGTGTGTTCCTACCATTGGCAAGCTGGAATCAAGGGTGAGGTCGGTTCCTGATTTCCCCACCCAACTTTATTTTTTGCCAGCGGTTAACACATCTGGCTTTTCCATTAAGACCACTGATACGCTCCCTTTTATGAAGTAGCTTTCTGCTATCAAGGCAAACCATTTGATAATGCTTTAAGAAAGCCAATTCTCTGATTTCCTATGTGAAGTTTCTTTTATAGCAAGTACAATGCCATAGACATCAACTGCAAAGCTGCCCCTGACAGTGTGATTCTTAATCAACAAATGTGTGTGTTCTCTTGAAGTAACGTTCCGATTTCCAGTCTTCACGTGTTTTATGTGCACTGCAAACGGGGAAGGGGTGCGCAGCTATTCCTTTAACTGCTTTGAATATTTAATCCAGCCAAGTGACTTCAGTATGTTACCAGTCTTGGTTTTCCAAGTATCATCGTCTCTTCTCCATCCATGAATTTGTTCTTGTGGGATACAAGCCTGTGAGGAATGTGTATAGAACATGAAGAATTTTCTAGAGATGAAAATCCAATGGCTGCATGATGGAAATATAGAAGAAAAACAAACAACAACAACAAAGCCGAAATTTGAATTTGCTCAACATGTATGAGGAAAAAAAATCGAATTTAACTCAGTGCCTCCATTTGCCATGTGGAAACCTTGAACTTGGTTCACCAAATTGTATTATATCTGTATATATATTATATATATATATATATATACCATATATATATATATAAATGTAGTCAAATGCGTCATATACCATCAATCTCCAGTAGCCAAATTAAAGTACATAATCCTTAGGTTATTTACAGGTTCACGCCTGGAATCCTAGCTACTCAGGAGGCTGGGATCTGAGGATCAGAGTTCAAAGCCAGCTGGGTCAGGAAAATCTGTGAGACTTTTATCTCCCGTGAGCCACCAAAAAGCTGGAAGTGGAGCTGTAGCTCAAGGGGTAGAGCACTAGCCTTGAACACAAAAGTTAACGTACAGCACCCAGGCTCTATGTTCAAGCCCCAGTACTAGCGCACAGACATACAGACAATTACTTATTGTGTGTGGATTTCAAATCTGACCATGCTGCTTTCACAGAGAATATCAACATCGGGGCTTTGGCTCTACTTTTCTAGGATAAGGATGGCTCAGAGTTTTTAGGGTATAAACTATTAGAAGTCATCCCCAAATATCATTTTATTTTGAGCCTGAGGAAGATAAAAACAAAGGGAAAAGATAAGCAGGAAAGAGGATACTTCCATTAGAACTGAAACATAAGTTCATTAGTGACCTAATTTACAAGCCCTTCTATCAGTCTCGTAGCTCCAAGTGGGGTAGATGGTTTTAATCTGTTTACTGGTATTTATTAGCCATGTGTTGGACTGTGGGGATTAGTTGTGAAGATATAATGAAAACATAACCCCCCCCCAAAAAAATCCCAACAGTCTCCACCAATTACTTTTTAGTAACTATGTGGCTTTCTTTCGAAGGCACTGTAATAAATGCTGAAGTAACTGAATAAGGCATTTATGTGATGCTGAGGAATCGAACCCAGGGCCTCAGACATGCAAGGCAAGCGCTCTACCACTGAGCCACCTTCCCAGCCCCTCATGTATATTTTTAAATTCTCCTTTCTGTAGTATCTCTTTAGTTCCCCGAGACAAGATCCTTGACTGCTTTTGTGGGCTGGGAAGTTAGCTTAGTGGCAGAGTGCTTGCTTGGCATGCATGAAGCCCTGGGTTCAATTCCTCAGTACCACATACACAGAAAAAGCTGGAAGTGGTGCTGTGGCTCAAGTGGTAGATTGCTAGTTTTGAGCAAAAGAAGCTCAGGGACAGTGCCCAGGCCCTGAGTTCAAGCCCCAAGACTGACAAAAAAGTTGCTGGGCACCGGTGGCTCACACCTGTAATCCTAGCTCAGATCTCAGGAGGCTGAGCTCTGAGAATTGCAGTTCAAGGCCAGCCTGGGCAGGAAAGTCCATAAGACTCTTACCTCCAATAAACCACTAGAAAACCAGAAGTGGCACTGGGGCTCAAGCGGTAGAGCACTTGCCTTGAGCTGAAGAGCCCAAGGACAGTGCCCAAGCCCAAAGTTCAAGCCCCACGACCAACAACAACAACAAAAAAGTCATTTTGTTTTTG